TGTTCTGTACGACATCTATTGCACGTCTGTCCGTCCTGGAAGAGGGATCCCTCCTCAGTTGCTCTTCCTGAGGTTTCTACTGTTTTTTTCTCCGTTAAAGGGTTTTTTGGGGAGTTTTTCCTGATCAGCTGTGAGGGTCATAAGGACAGAGGGATGTCGTATGCTGTAAAGCCCTGTGAGGCAAATTGTGATTTGTGATATTGGGCTTTATAAATAAAATTGATTGATTGATTGATTGATCACCATCACCATCATCACCATCATCATCATCACCACCATCATCACCTACATCATCACCATCACCATCATCATCATCATCATCATCATCACCATCACCATCATCATCACCATCATCACCACCACCATCATCATCATCATCATCACCATCATCATCATCATCATCATCATCACCACCATCATCATCATCATCATCACCATCACCATCATCACCATCACCACCATCATCATCATCATCATCATCATCACCACCACCATCATCATCATCATCACCATCATCATCATCATCACCATCATCACCATCACCACCATCATCATCATCATCATCACCATCACCATCACCATCATCACCATCACCATCACCATCATCACCTACATCATCACCATCATCATCATCACCATCACCACCATCATCATCATCATCACCATCACCATCATCATCATCACCACCATCATCATCATCATCACCATCATCACAGAAAATAGATTAAACATGGATGAAGAACATGAAACAAGAAACACAAATATATTTACATATATTTTGTTATTTCTGATTCTTTTCAGTTTGATCCAAAAATAACAACCTGCAGAATGTTTTTTATTTTCCTGGTGATGTGATCGACAATATTTCTTGATGATTACAACTGTTTCTGAACCACAACGACCTCACACACATTATTAACTTTTAATGTGTGTGAGGTCGTGACCTGAAACAGGCTGAAAGAACGACTGAGTAGATTTTAGTAGAAACTGAATCAGACATTTGATTTAACCCTGAAGACTTTATATGTTAACTGTTCCTATAACTCCAGTTTCTGTCTGCAGCAGCTGTTTGTTGTTTCCTGTTCAGATCAGTTTCACATTCAGACACATCAGACATCTGTCGTCCTGCTGCTCACTGATGACCTGAGATCTGTCAGGTGTTGTCTACCTGACCTGTTATTGTCAGGTCTGTATGTTCCTGATCCTGACAGGATGTTTCTGTAGGTTCATCTCAGAGTTCTTTGTTTCACAGAGTGAAGCTGTGAGCGTTGTCTCAGTAAAAATAGAAACTGCTTCTATCACCGTGGAAACCACGTTTCACACCAGGGACACATTTAAACACTCAGAGACACTCAGAGAGAGATCAATAAAGGAGCTGGCTGAAGCCAAAAAGGCGGTCTGAGGCACTCTGACTGAAATGTAATAAAAATCCTTTAATTGACAGGGATGACCTCTCACTCAGAGAGAGTTTCATGATTCAGTCTGATCACAGAGCTCCTTACACGTGAACCGATCCTTACACATGAACTGATCCTTACACGTGTTGAACTGATCCTTAGACATGAACTGATCCTTACACATGTCGAACTGATCTTTACACATCTTGAAATGATCCTTACACGTGTTGAACTGATCATTACAATTGTTGAACTGTTCGTTCCACATGTCGAACTGATCGTTACAAGTGTTGAACTGATTGTTACACCTGCTGATCTGATCTTTACACATGTCGAACTGATCATTACACCTGTTGATCTGATCCTTACACATGTCGAACTGATCGTTACACATGTTGATCTGATCCTTACACGTCGAACTGATCCTTTCACATGTCGATCTGATCCTTACATGTGTCGAAGTGATCATTACACATGTTGATCTGATCCTTACACATGTCAAACTGATTGTTACAAGTGTTGAACTGATCGTTACACCTGTTGATCTGATCCTTTCACGTGTTCAACTGATCATTATACCTGTTGATCTGATCCTTACACATGTCAAACTGATCGTTGCACGTGACAAACTGATCCTTACACATGTTGAACTGATCCTTACATGTGTCGAAGTGATCATTACACCTGTTGAACTGATCCTTACATGTGTCAAAGTGATCATTACACCTGTTGATCTGATCCTTACACATGTCAAACTGATTGTTACAAGTGTTGAACTGATTGTTACACCTGTTGATCTGATCCTTACACGTGTCAAACTGATCATTATACCTGTTGATCTGATCCTTACACATGTCAAACTGATCGTTTCACTTGTCAAACTGATCATTACACATGTTGAACTGATCCTTACACATGTTGAACTGATCCTTACATGTGTCGAAGTGATCATTACACCTGTTGATCTGATCTTTACACGTGTCAAACTGATCATTATACCTGTTGATGTGATCCTTACACGCGTCGAACCGATCGTAACGTGTCAAACTGGACATACAGAACAAATCTGTGGAAGGACAATCAGGGAATAATTATGACCATCTGTTCCTCTGTGTCTGTCCTCTGTATCTGTCCCTCTGTGTCTGTCGTCTGTGTCTGTCCCTCTGTGTCTGTCCTCTGTGTCTGTTCCTCTGTGTCTGTCCCTCTGTGTCTGTCGTCTGTGTCTGTTCCTCTGTATCTGTCCCTCTGTGTCTGTCGTCTGTGTCTGTCCCTCTGTATCTGTCCCTCTGTGTCTGTCCTCTGTGTCTCTCTTCTGTGTCTGTCCCTCTGTGTCTGTCCCTCTGTGTTTGTCCTCTGTGTCTGTCCCTCTGTGTCTGTCATCTGTGTCTCTCTTCTGTGTCTGTCCCTCTGTGTCTCTCCTCTGTGTCTGTCCCTTTGTGTCTGTCCTCTGTGTCTGTCGTCTGTGTCTCTCTTCTGTGTCTGTTCCTCTGTGTCTGTCCCTTTGTGTCTGTCCTCTGTGTCTGTCCCTCTGTGTCTGTCTCTTTGTGTCTCTCCTCTGTGTCTGTCCCTTTGTGTCTGTCCTCTGTGTCTGTCCCTTTGTATCTGTCCTCTGTGTCTCCAGGTGTTTTTCTGGCCTGTTGGACGCCGTTCTTCGTTGTCCACGTCACCAAGGTGTTATGTCACTCCTGTGACATCGGCCCCACCCTCATCTCCGTGGTAACGTGGCTCGGCTATGTCAACAGTGCCATCAACCCAATCATCTACACAGCCTTCAACGCTGAGTTCAGGACTGTCTTTCACAAGCTGCTCTGCTGTAGGACGTAAAACTAACCTTGCCCCAAAGACGTCCCTCAACAGGAAGCTCAAGCTAAGTCTCAGAACGGTCTTCAGGATTTTATCACCTGGTGTGTCTCTGTGACGTTCGTCATGTTGATGATTCGTCCTTCGGTTCAGATCTCAGCTGGACTGAAAGACTCTGTCTCTTATTTTGAAAGGGTTTTTCTTGAGTCAGTCTTTTATTTTGAAGGATTTAATCATGTGATTAGTTACTGAAGCAGTAATCAGATTACTGTCTCATTACGGCCCAGAGACATAAAACGTGATGAATTTAAATGTTGTAAATTATCTGAATATTTTATGTTGTTTTTAAAGATTTCACAGAATCATTCATTCAGTCATTCAATCAATCAATCACAGACTGGATTCATGAATGAATGTAGATTTTAAATGTTTCACAGAATCAGTGTTGATGAATATTTTTGTGACTGAAGCAGATAAAAATGTTGGTGTATTTTTATCATCCAGTTTAGGTGAATGTGATGAAATGTAGCTGAAACAACAACAACAACAACAATCTTTGTCATCAGAAGGAAAATAATAAACTTTAAACTTTAAAAATTAAAGTAATTAAACTTGTTGAATCTGTTTGTCTGTTTAAACATCAGATTAAAGTTAAACTTTTTTTTATTTCATGATGAAGTTCAGTTTATTGTTTATTTACTGTTTACTGGAGCTTCTACGGAAGCCCTGAAGGTAAAGAAAAATGTCTCTGAAGGAAACGTTGCCTGAAGTTTATAAGTTTATAAAATCTCCTGGCTCTGAGATCATCTCCTGCATTGGGGATGTTACAGGAAGCTCCCGCTTGGTCATTTTGATCTGAGTCCTTCACAGGTTATTTTGGAGATCGCTCCGGCATGATCGAAGGTGGCAAGAACTCTGTCTGGTCTCGTCTCTATGACAATCACAGTGCATCAAAGGGAAGTCATCCCACTTTCAGAGCATCACTCAGAGTGGCAGCGGCCTGGATGTTTAACTGACAGCTGGACAAGACGAGGACGCCGTCTCACAGGTTGTTCTCGTGCAGTGTTTGTACTTTTGCTTTGAGAAGTGACGCAACAAAATTTGTGCAAATCCCACATAATGATGAGCCAGTGAGTAAACTGGTGGTAAAGGAGGCAGTCCTGAGCTGTGCAGTCAGAGGCAGGAGGGGGTGGAGCATGATGGACAACAAACCTCAAGACTTTAACCACGAGACATGTGTTCTGACGCTATGTGACCTTGTCCTTTTTTAGGTTCGATCTCACCATGTTTCTGTTCATAAACCTGACGTCCGTAAACTTTAGGTTAGCGATGTCACTTTACGTTAATGATGTCAATTTACGTTAATGATCTAACTTCACGTTAATGATGTAACTACGTTAATGATGTAAGTTTATGTTAATGATCTAACTTTACATTAATGATTTAACTTCACGTGAATGATCCAACTTTACGTTAATGATCCAACTTTACATTAATGATCCAACTTTACGTTAATGATGTAAGTTTATGTTAATGATGTATCTTTTCAATAATGGTCTAACTTTACATTAATGATTTAACTTTACGTGAATGATCCAACTTTACGTTAATTATCTAACTTTACGTTGATGATCCAACTTTACCTTAATGATCCAACTTTACTTTAATGATCCAACTTTACATTAATGATTTAACTTTACGTTAATGATCCAACTTTACGTTAATGATCCAACTTTACATTAATGATCCAACTTTACGTTAATGATCCAACTTTACTTTAATGATCCAACTTTACGTTAATGATCCAACTTTACATTAATGATCCAACTTTATGTTAATAATGTAAGTTTATGTTAATGATGTATCTTTTCAATAATGGTCTAACTTTACATTAATGATTTAACTTTACGTGAATGATCCAACTTTATGTTAATTATCTAACTTTACGTTAATGATCCAAGTTTACGTTAATTATCTAACTTTACGCTGATGATCCAACTTTACATTAATTATCTAACTTTACGTTAATGATCCAACTTTACGTTAATGATGTAAGTTTATGTTAATGATGTATCTTTTCAATAATGGTCTAACTTTACATTAATGATTTATCTTTACGTTAATGATCCAACTTTACGTTAATTATCTAACTTTACGTTAATGATGTAAGTTTATGTTAATGATGTATCTTTTCAATAATGGTCTAACTTTATATTAATAATTTAACTTTACGTTAAAGCAGCTGTGCGAGTGTAAACCTCGGTTGGGCATTCACCAAGTAGAGAGAGCTGAGAGATTTGAAAGGTTTTAAAACTGATCCCGAGTTGGCCCTTTTCCTAATCAACAGGTATGTCATTTTTGTTTTTATTAGAGAATATACCGCAACTTGTTAGACGTTGTTTCACTTCAACATATGACGACATGGCAGTTATATGCAAGCTAAATGTAACATTAGCTGCTTTTGTCTAGTAATGTTACAACAAACGCCACAAAATTATCTGTGACTGTGACCATGAACACAGATATACAGCAGGCAGTTGTCCTCAGTTTATAAGAAATTCAGAGCTACACCAGAACATTTATTGTTTTCCTCTCGCTCTCCAAAACAAATGCATGCGGTAATTGCTGGTTGCAGTTGAGATTTTACGACACCAGGCTGTGGGTGTCATACCGCTTTGACCAAAGGGGGGCACTATAATCAACGAAAACGTAAAGTTCCCCACAGCTGCTTTAATGATCTAACTTTACGTGAATGATCCAACCTTACATTAATGGTGTAACTTTTCAATAATGGTCTAACTGTACATTAATGATTTAACTTTGCGTTAAAGACGTAACTTTACGTTAAAGATATAACTTTATGTTAAAGATGTAACTTTCCATTTAAAGATTTAACTTAAAGTAAATGATGTAACTTTACATTTGAGATGTAAGTTTATTTTACTGATCTAACTTTATGTTAAAGATGTAACTTTACATTCATCATGTTGATGAAGCTTTGTCTGAGGACACGATGTGTCTCCACATGATGTCCTCCTTCTGTTCTGTAACTTTAGTATTAATATTCTATTTTTACTTTTCAGCTGTGTCATCTGAAAATCTGTTTTAAAAAAACAAAAACTATTTTAACAAACGGAGATGTCAGATGCCTGGTGTCATTTTTATTTTGTCCTCTGTGTTCAGCCTCCGGATGTTTTTTATTAAAAACACGCTAACAACAGAGACACGAGCATCCTCAACAGCGTCCTCATCTCTGTGTGCTCAAACAGCCATGGAAACCACACTGCTGTTACCACAGTAACAAGGAGTCCGGACATGTTCCATGAGCTCAGAGATTCATCTGGAAACTGAGGAGGTTATTCACTCAATGATTTGAAAGTCCCTTAAATCAAATCCCTTACATCAAACCCCTTAAATCAGTGAAGCAGTGGCTAGAGTTTGACCTGAAGTCTAAACTGTGAATGTCAGCAGGTCGGTGGTCACACTGTGTGTGTGTTGCATTCTGGTTAATGAGTGTGACATGAGAGGGACAGGTTAAAACCCTCAGGACACATGAAGGATTTTCCACCTTAAACATCCTTTTAAGGTGGAATCAGCAGGAGTCTCAGACTGCTGACCCTCTTCCTGCGGTCCGACAGGAGGTTGCCCCGGTTACCCTGGTAACGCTGTTCCCAAAATGTTTTCACACAGAAATTGTGGCGACCAATCAGAAGTGAGGAAGAGTCAAACAGGAAGCTCCATTCAACACACTGACTCCTCTTCATCATCATCATCATCATCATCATCAGGAGACAAAGGTTTCACACTGAAACTCTGAGCTGGATTTAATGTTTTACAGGTTTTACTGTTTTACAGGTTTAACATGAAACACAAAAGTTGCTGCAGAGGACTGTGAGGACTGTGGGGACTGTGAGGACTGTGAGGACTGGGAGGACTGTGAGGACTGGGAGGACTGTGAGGACTGTGGGGACTGTGGGGACTGTGAGGACTGTGGGGACAGTAAGGACTGTGAGGACTGTGGAGGACTGTGGGGACTGTGAGGACTGTGGGGACTGTGAGGACTGTGGGGACTGTGAGGACTGTGAGGACTGTGAGGACTGTGGGGACTGTGAGGACTGTGGGGACAGTAAGGACTGTGAGGACTGTGGAGGACTGTGGGTACTGTGAGGACTGTGGGGACTGTAAGGACTGTGAGGACTGTGGAGGACTGTGAGGACTGTGAGGACTGTGGAGGACTGTGAGGACTGTGGTGACTGGAAGAACTGGGGGGACTGTGGGACTGTGAGGATTGTGGGAACTGTGGGGAATGGGAGGACTGTGGAGGACAGTGAGTACTGTGAGGACTGTGGGGACTGGAAGAACTGGGAGGACTGTGAGGACTGGGAGAACTGGGAGGACTGTGAGGACTGTGGGGACTGGGAGAACTGGGAGGACTGTGAGGACTGTGGGACTGTAAGGACTGTGGGGACTAGGAGGACTGTGGGTACTGTGAGAACTGTGGAGGACTGTGAGGACTGTGGTGACTGGAAGAACTGGGGGGACTGTGGGACTGTGAGGATTGTGGGAACTGTGGGGAATGGAAGAACTGTGAGGACTGTGGGACTGTGAGGATTGTGGGAACTGTGGGGAATGGGAGGACTGTGGAGGACAGTGAGTACTGTGAGGACTGTGGGGACTGGAAGAACTGTGAGGACTGTGGGACTGTGAGGACTGTGGGACTGTGAGGACTGTGGGACTGTGAGGACTGTGGGAACTGGGAGGACTGTGAGAACTGTTGGGACTGTGAGGTCTGTGAGGACTGGGAGAACTGAGAGGACTGGGAGAACTGGGAGGACTGTGAGGACTGTGGGGACTGGGAGGATTGTTAGAACTGTGGGGACTGTGAGTACTGTGAGGACTGTGGGGACTGGGAGAACTGGGAAGACTGTGGGGACTGGGAGGACTGTGAAAACTGTGAGGACTGGGAGAACTGGGAGGACTGTGAGGACTGTGGGACTGTGAGGACTGTGGGGACTGGGAGGACTGGGAGAACTGTGGGGACTGGGAGGACCGTGAGGACTGGGAGAACTGGGAGGACTGTGGGGGACTGGGAGGACTGTGAGGGACTGGGAGGACTGGGATGACTGTGGGGACTGTGAGGACTGGGAGGACTGGGAGGACTGTGGGGGACTGGGAGGACTGTGAGGGACTGGGAGGACTGGGATGACTGTGGGGACTGTGAGGACTGGGAGGACTGGGAGGACTGTGGGGACTGTGGGGACTGGGAGGACTGGGAGGTATGAGCTTGAGACACAATGGGACCATATGATGTCACACAGTCGGTCACAGCAGAAACAATATTTGAATAAAAAGTAGTTGAAACTTTATAAAATGTGACGAACAGAATCACAAACGTCTGTTTAACATCTGACTGAATAAAAACATTTACAGTTTACTGAAGCCGCTCTGGTGGATTTATCTTTACATGTTCAGTCAGTGAGGGACACTGTGACACCCCCTGCTGGAGCCTGGTGTTATTACATCATCACTAAGCCACAGAAACCACATCAGGTGTGTTCACAC